CATTATCAAGAGACTATGTCTATACGCCAACGTTTGTTTTTGTTGAATACCCAGGACTTGCAAGATTGGTAACTACTTGCTCTTGCAGCAAGGCACCATTGAAGCGACATTCTTCCTGAAATGCTGGCTATAAAAGCTGTACACCACTGGATTGAGACTGGAATTCAACAGCGCACTTGCTTTAGCTACGGAATTCACTGTGGCGCGCCTACCAGGAATCACGGGAGTCAGCAAGCAAAGCACTGCCGCAGGGGTCCAGCACGCGATGAAGATAACAGAGACTGAGATGAGCATCTTTGTTACTTTATGCCTGGACTGTGAAACTGAGTTTGGATAGGAGACTGGCACGAGAACGACCGCACGCAGACGCAGAATTATCCGCGTGTACAGGTATCCCATGATGGTTATTGGCACCAATTCATTGCAAAATGCCCAAAACAGGTAAAACGCTCGAGATGTCACGTGGTTTGGGAAGTTGTCCACACACATTTGATTTTCTGCATCGTAAGTCGACACTACGAAAAGGGGACTAACCAATAGGAGCGCTAGGACCCACATGATTGGCACCGACCACCGCGACCGACTCCGACTGAGCTGTTCCAGGGGATGTAAAGTGGCGTTATAACGCTCAAAAGCTATCATCACCAGAAGAAAGGTCGACATCAAGGCCGCCACCCAACCCAAGGCCCCAACGAAAACGAACTTGCACAGCAGGTCTCCAGTAACACCGCTCGGCTGCTCGATAAAGTGGCTCAGAATGATAGGAGGAATGAAAAAGACAGCGACCAGTAAATCAGCGATGGCCAGGTGGAAAAGAAGCCAGTTGACAGAGGTTTTCATCGCTTTTTTCTTCAGTATTACAGCACACACCAGGAAATTACCTGCTATGTTAAAAATTATCACGGCGGCTACAGACAGCGAGAAAACCAAGGAAAAGGTCGATATTGCCATCCTTGAGTACAAAATCAAATTTGTTTCTCAAAGTGGGCTTTTTCTGTAATAAGAAATATTGACATAGATAAACTCTTAACACCATGCAGCATCAGACAAGTTATTTGCATAATATCATTTTTAAGCAAGTTCGAGAAAGGAGGAAGGATAAGAGTATTCATCACCCATATAGGACTTAATTACTCCTGAGGTGATCCCTCTCGTGTTATTTTCAGACATGGTACCCAGTTCTTTCGCGGACAATTTTACCACCTGCGTTGCGTGGAAGTTTTCATGGACGAAGGAAAGGCGTGCAAAGCATTTTGGGCAGTCCTGCGTCCCAGCATTGTAGCTATTTGTAGATCCTCCTGCCATTTTCCAAACTGGAAGTGATGTAAAGATAACTTGAGAGAGATTACCTCGTGAATAAGGCCTACATGGGAAATATACTCTCATGCCCTCCATTTTTCTTTGTTGAGCAACAGCTAAATATGCAATAAATTGCGATTCATCACGATCATCAAATAGTGCTGCATGTAACCAGTGCATCGTACCCTGTTCGATGTTGAACGGACTAGAAGACTTCCCTATTCTTTTCACATATCAACTGGCTTCTATTCAAAATTAAAAAGATACACTATACTGTTATTTTTCAGTTGTCAACTGGTAAATCTTGACTACTCTAAGTTTGCGTTAAATCGTGTAAAATTTCACTACGACGAACATGTTTCAAGCGAACTAGTTTGAAGCCGAAGACAGGAATGCAAATTTCAACGTTGTTTGGAAGGTTTTGTTTTAAACAAATCAGTTTGTTGCCATTTTACAGCTTAAAAAGAAGCTTCTGAGTTTCTTAAGCGATTCTGTTATATACAGACATTTTTTAAGTTTTTTTTTCCTGTCTTTTGACGAATTGTTTTGAATTTGGGCGTAAGATTAGCCATGCAGTCATTTAGCAAAACAGATGACCCTTATGTGGAATCATTAAAAGGAAACGCAAAGTCTTGAACGACAGAAAAAAACAAAGTAAAACTGAATCGTCGGCCTTCGATGATAACTCCTTTATTGAAATAATGTCATGCAGTTTTAGTTAAGAAACACAGTTGAACACAGAAATGAGGTGATTAAGTGTACAAGCTGTAAAACATATTGACCTCTGAGCGATTTGTTATATACAAACAGTTTTAAACGGTGAAAAACCACAAGCAAAACTCTCACCTTGGATTTTTCAGAAGGCCATCACTGTTGTAAACACCACCGCGCAATTGGTCTTTGTATTTGTAGCAAAGAACAGTTCGCAATATCTTTAACAAGGATTATAAACTAACGCTGACGTAATTCTTCCACATCTAAAAACCACAGGCGTATATTGATGCAGCTTATGGAGCTCAACATAATAGCGAGTCTTACCTCTCATCTATTTTCCCCGGCCTACATTGTTATGCAAATATGAAAAGTCGTCCATGAAAAGATCTCCCACCCCCCAGTACGTTTCTTTGTGTTCTTTTTCATTGGCATAGGCGTGACATACATTCCTTGTAAGCTATTTTTTAATCATACGTCAAGTGAAACCCAATTTGGTGATTTGAAGCAGTTTTCATTTGAGTGTCGAAAAGTAATTGGTTTGCACTTACTACGCTGCGCGATTGGCTAAAAACTCTCGCGCCAGTTTAATTTTTATCCAATCAGAAGTAAAACCAAAACCATTCGTGGCTTGTTTGAATGCGTTTACCCGCGCTTCGCGTAAGCCACATGTATTTGCTTCGAGTTTTGAGTGGCTCACTGTATTTTCTATGTCCTTTGTGATTGGCTAGAGCAATCACTTTGGTTTTGGTTTCACGACACGCGTAATTTTTTTTTTTCTTTTCTCTTTCCTTCCCTTTTTTTATTTATTCACAGAAAAAACTTCCAGTAAAATAAAACATAGAGTAAAGTAGCTACCATACAGCACTTTGAGGATTACAATAGATAAACAAATAAAGTCGCTACTACTTAGAAATTTTGAAAACATGAGAAAATTGACACAAAGTAAGTAAATTAATTTGTCTTATTGAGACGTTGGAATTTGAGGAGATGTTTCTTTAGATGTCAAATTTTCTCGGTCGACAGTCCAATACCCAGGAGTAATTATTGTCCGCCTTAGCAGTTAGCGTTTTTGTTGAGTCTCTGGGGAAAATCAAAGCTTCAAAAGATCTGCTTGAGAGGCTGGTTTAATTAGTCTGTGATCATTCATTCGGTATTTATTCATTTCATCTTTGATAATTCATTCTCTCGGTATTATACATTGCTTTTAGTTTAGAACATTTACAAAGAAGTTTTTGTCCTAGCTAGTATGTATAGTAGAGCTGTGAGACCTGATTTACGGCTTGACTCGCTCCAGTGGAAGTTTATTCAGGTCTCTCTCTTTTTCTTGTACCCATGAGACATGTCCTTTTCCGTTATAGGAACTCAGTCACGGTACTTATTTTGGCCACGTACAAAATTATCTTTAAATTGAAGGAAACCTGAAAATAATTAGTTTACTAAGATAGAAAAACACCAAAGAGATAATAATAAACCATAAAGGAACAAGGATGGTTAATGATGGAGAAGATTAACACAGATTGAAAAATTTAGCCTAAGCTTTTTAAGATAGCTCAAACCATGACGTAGCTCCTTTAACTGACGGAACATTAAACTAACTGAAAACCTAACAAACGAACTGTTCACATTATAAGGCAACAAGATAGAATGGAGTGTGAGAGAGTTAATCCCGCATCACTCACCGTTTGGGAAATGCCGGTAGGAACTGGAGGATCTGGTTAGAGCCAATTCTCAAACGGCTTTACACGCACTTTATCCTTCACGAAAACATTCACGTAACGCGCGTACCAACATTATCTGCGGAAGAACTGGGTACCACCTCTAAAAATAACTTGAGAGAGATTATCGTGGGAGCAAGGCTTATAGGGGGGATTAAATTTCTTATACCTTTCATCTTCTCTTGAAGCCGATCATCATTTTAGATTTGCAAACAGGACTCTAAAGGTTTAAGCTCATCATGATCAGCAAGTATCTGATTAGCTACTGGAGTGGCGATTATTTCATTTTCTGGCAACATACGAGTGATGCGAGATTCTTCCTGAACTGTTGACTATGAAGCGTGTACACCAGTGGATTGATGCTAGAATTCAACAGCGCGCTTGCTGTGGTGACGAGGTGAATTGTAGCAAATTGCCCGCCAGGAATCACGGGACTCAGCATGCAAAGCATGGCGGCAGGGATCCAACACAGGACAAAGATGATGAAGACTGAAATGAGCATCTTAGTAACCTTGGTTCTGGAATGTGACATGACGTTTGCTGAGGAACCTGGCACCTGGACACGGCTGCGCAGACGCAAAATAATCCGCGTATACAGGTATCCCATGATGCATATGGGCAACACTGAATTGGCAAATGTCCAAGCAAGTGAATATGTTAGATCCGTTGCATAATTTGGATAGTTCTGGATGCAACCTTGACTTTCTGTATCGTAGGCCGATACTACGAGACCAGGCATTATCAACAAGATGGCGACGATCCATAGGGATGGCAGCAACCACGGTGATTGGCTACGTCCAAGCTTTTCAAATGGATGTAAGGTGGCGTTATAACGCTCAAATGCTATCACCACCAGAAGAAAGCTTGAGGCTGAAGCCGACGCCCAACCCAGAGACCCGCCGAAAATGAACTTGCAAAGCAAGTCTCCAATAACGCCGCCGGGTTGCTCGATAAAGTGGCTCAGAATGCAAGGTGGAATGAAGAAGACAGCGACCAGTAAATCAGCGATGGCCAGGTGGAAAAGAAGCCGGTTGATCGAGGTTTTCAGTGCTTTTTTCTTCAATATCACTAAGCACACCAGAGAGTTACCCGCTATGTTGAAAATTATTGTGGCGGCTAGACATAGTACGTATAGAAGAGTGGTAGTTGACATCACCAGGATTCAAGTTTGAGTCCAAAGTTGGATTCGTTATCTGTGTATATAAAAAATAAGGTTAAAAAGAAATTAAACCCCCGAACAGGGAAAGTACGACAAACAAACGTAAGAGAAATTTGAAAACCCGGCTATAGTTTTACGGTTAGGCTTACCGTCCACACTAATCCGGAGAAACTGTCCACCGAAAACGGAGCTTTTCAAAAACGCTCCTCAAACAAGAGGAATTTGAAAACACGGAAAATGATGACGTCACGATAATCATGTGATTAACCCTTCAGAGCGGAGAAACGTACGAGGTTGGCCTTTCTACCGTCGGTTTTAATGCGTTTTCAAATTTCTCCAGCGTATTGTGGACGGGGCCTCAGTTCCAAACAAACAACTAGCTAGCAAAGCAGCATTTCAAAAGCTCTTGTCCTGATTTTCTCGATCACAGTTTAATTTTCTGACATATGGTTTTAAAAATTTAAAAGCGATAGTCTTTCTATTTTTTGTGGCTAGATAGGTGAGGAATTTGACGACCTGTACTCCTCCGGATCAAAGTGGATTTAAAAATTTTGGCTTTCAAAACTTCTCATTTCCATTTTCGGCCAATGTATTAGGGCTCAAGACAAGGGATACTAAAAGGGACGGGAGACCCGGAGAATTACAGGGAGAATTTGAAATTATGGTGAACTCTTTCATTTACGCTCAACCACATTCGTTGATACCAAGTATTAGCTGATTAGTGAAGCTGACATTGAAGTTTTAATTAGTAGATGATGTGCTAAGTGAAAAGGTCATTTTTAAAGTATTTAACTAGGACTGACACATTTCAAACTCTAAGATTTGAAGGTCGAAAATTATTGCAAGAGAAACATAAATAAATAATTTCCATTTACAAGGCTAAAGGAAAAAGTTAAAAGTAGAAAACCGAACGTTTTCGACACTAGCTCATCTTCACTAGGTCACTTACCTTGAAGATGACCTAGTGTCGAAAACGTTCGGGTTTTTACTTTTAACTATTTTAGCCTTGTAAATAGAAATTATTTCTTG